AAGTTGCTCACAATATCTTCTTCTCTTGCCCATCTTTAAATTGGGGTAGGTGAGGTAAATACTAGGGTTTCAAAGTCTGCTTTTACGAGCTCTGCTTCTCTTACAGGCCTTCTCTTACAGATTTTCACTCAACCTCATAGTTCGAGCCGGCGTGTGACAATGAAACTGTCACGTCGGCTCAATAGATCGAGAAGTGAGCGAAAGCATACCGTCGCTCGCTGACTTCTCGATCATCTCCCTGCAGAGAGCCGTGACTGTCACTCATGGCTCCCTGCAGGGATTCCCCCCTCCCCGCTCCTCCAGCGCTGACTGGCGGAACGGACGGGGCAGGCTGGCTCTGCCTCTAGATAGGCAGTGCCAGCTGTCAGTCACGCAGTTGGGTGAATCTCGACAGTAATGTTGGGATCCGTCCCGACTGCGGTGGTCTCAGTTTACCGCGAGCTGTAGCTTGTGATATATATTGAGCTTTTTTAGTCACGGGAGGACACTAGTATATGTACTCCCGTGACCCTTAGGAGAACTATGGGGAAAAACACTTACCCCATAGTTCTTCTTTAAAGAGTGCATACTCTCTCCTCTTAGAGGCTTTAATTTCACTTTGTCTATGAACTTACAACAGTTGGAAATAGCAAAATGTTCCTAATTTCAAGAATATGTCTCAGGATGGCACAAACAGCCGCATTTAGAAGAAGATATTGTGGCCAGTCAGAAAAGACTGTAGACTGTAGTTCCAGTATGGGGTAATAAATAGAATAAAAAAAAAGCATGAATACTTGTATGAAGAAGTCACAGAGCTCTGCAGTTGCCATTTCAGGGAAACTGACGCTTTGGGTGATTTCTTTCCAGCAAGAGAGCCTGTCCATGAATGCAGGAAGCTGACTGTCTCTGAACTTATGTGCTATTCAAACGCACCAAGGCAAAATGATTAAGTTCTTTTTAGGACTGGTGGTTCACATATAAATTATTTTATAATGCTGCCAGACCCCAGGAATCAAATGTTTTACATTATAATAGCTTATACATCTATTTTGTGTTTTCATATAATAAGGGTACCTATATACATTTCTATGTACCCATATTTAGTACAACAGAATATATGATAACAATCATTTTAATGTAATAATTATATATTTCAGATGCCAAATCAATCCTTCTTTGTTGTGCTAAATTATTGCTTTAAATCTACAGATTGTTTAAAACAATCCCATATGTGATAGAATAATCATTCATTGTTTCATCTATTGCCCACATTGCCAACTCCACTGACTCCCAAGAAACGTGGTTATTGTTCTACTCATCGGTGGTGCAGCAGATGACATACTGAAAAGGGGCAATAATGCCATTTAATTACCCCATCTTTTTCCAGAGCTTTCTGCAGCTTTTATGTAACATAACTGTACAAGTTGCATGACAGTTGCTAAAGGCACCTGGAAACTCTGGGCTGAAGAGGAGCTTCCCTGCACAGCTCTGCCGTAAGTAGAGGACTTTATAACCCTGCAACAGAGGTATGCCATCTACTGTACTACCACATAGGTCAGTACAGAGGCACTGTCCTCCACATGATCATTCTGGTAGGTATATGATAGCGCTAGACAAGTAGAGATTGATTAAAATGCATCAAAGACAAAATATATATTTTTTTGCTGGAGCTCAGTTTCTAGTAGAGGTAAGGACCCAAATCTGAGCTTAGGGTGCTGCTTTTTTGATCACGATAATACAATTTCTCATCAGATGAACAAATGGGGGTTAGGAGCACCTAGTATAAACTTCTGTCCCAATTACAATTCATTTAAAAATCTGTTAGGAATTGATAGGAACAACAGATACAGCCTACACGTTTCAGGGGAAAGGATGCCCCCTTCTTCAGGGCTTGAACAACTATTTGCAACGCAATCAGGATGAAATAACAGGGAAAGCCAGAGTTGAGCCTGATTAAAGCTAGTGTGTTCTAACTGCATGTATGCAACCAGATGGATCTAATTGGATGGAATAACATTGAACTGAGGCTAGTGTGTTCTAACAGCAAGTATACATCTGGCTGGATATAACTAGGTGTTTACATGCTGTTAGAACACACTAGCCTCATTCCAGGCTTTCTATGATATTTCATCCTGATTGCTTTACAAACTGTTGGTCAAGCCCTGAACAAGGGAAAATCTTTTCCCCCATAATGCACTGGCTAAATTGTTGTTCCCAACAAAGATTTTAAACGAATTTCCAGCGAGAGAAGTTTGTACTAGGTATTGCTAACCACACACTTAGAAACCACACATGGCTAACACTAACATGGGAAACACGAATGTCATTATCTCTAATGGCATAGCTATGTCTCTAAAACAGATGGTTTATTTCTTATAATAATGTCTCTAATATGGGTCGTCTCTTTCATATGGACCTCCCATTTACATGGCAGTATCTACAACATTCCAGTGTTTCTGACTTGTGGCAGAGGCTGTAAAATGGCAGTCTCATGGCAATGTGTCTGATAATACTGCATTCTGTTTAACAACTAATCCGCCGTTGCTACAGTTTCTCGACGAGAAGATGCATTGGGGAAAGCTTGTGAGATGGATCCTGGAATCTAAAACTCATGAGGAGTGATGCAACGGTATTGCATACACTGCAAAGCAGGCAAGATCTGATTGCTATTAGTGTAAGTGACATTTTTACATGTTTTTAGTTGCTGCTTTTGTTAAACTTTTTTACGCTATTAAATTTATGGCATGCCTTATATCTTTGCACTAAAATCTGCTGAAATCTGGGTAGTAGGAAAGAGAGTATAATTACAGTTTGAGTGCTGAAGTTCAAACTGAGCATCATAATGGGGAAGAAAGATTATTTAAGTGACTTTCAATGTGGCATGGTTGTTGGTGCCAGACGTGCTAGTCTGAGTATTTAAGAAACTGCTGGTCTACTGGGATTTTCACGCACAACCATCTCTAAGGTTTACAGGAAACTGAAAAAGAGAAAATATCCAGTGAGGGGCAGTTCTCTGGTTGAAAATGACTTGTTGATGCCAGAGGTCAGAGGAGAATGCCCAGACTGGTGCAAGCTGATAGAAAGGCAACAGTAACGTTAACCACTGGTCACATCCGAGGTATGCAGAAGAGCATCTCTGAATGTACAATATGTCAAACCTTGAAGCAGATGGGCTACTGCAGCAGAAGACCACACCGGGTGCCACTCCTGTCAGCTAAGAACAGGAAACTGAGGCTACAATTTGCCATGACTCACCAAAATTGGACAATAGAAGATTGCCTGGTCTGATGAGTTTCGATTTCTGCTGCGACATACGGACGGTCGGGTCAGAATTTGGCGTAAAAACCATGAAAGCTTGGACCCATCCTGCCTTGTATCAACAGTTCAGGCTGATGGTAATGGTGTAAAGGTGGCAGGGGGGGGGAATAATTTCTTGGCACACTTAAGTACCACTTCAGCATTGTTTAAATGCCACAGTCTACCCTGTCCATCCCATTGTTTAAATGCCACAGTGTACCCTGCCCATCCCATTAATGACCATTAATGACCATAGTGTACCCATCTTTTGATGGCTACTTCCAGCAGGATAACGCACCATGTCACAAAGGTATAATCATCTCAAACTGTTTTTATAACGAGTGCAATGTACTCAAATGGCCTCCACAGTCACCAGATCTTAATCCAATAGAATACCTAGGGATGTGGTGGAATGGGAGATTTGCATCATGAAACTGCAGTAACTGTGTGATGCTGCCATGGCAAAATGGACCAAACTCTCCAATGAATGTTTCCAGATCCATGCTGAATCTATGCCACAAGGAATTAAGGCAGTTCTGAAGGCAAAGGTGGTCTAACTCAGTACTAGTAAGGTGTCCTTAATAAAGTGGCCAGGGAGAGTATATGGACACAGATCAGGTGTTAGAAGCATTTCCTGCAAATTTGTTGGAAGTATCATGAAGCGGAAACTTTCATTTATATGATTTTATGGTCATGTACAGTTCTTTTAACATGCATTGTGATGAACATGACAATATAGCAGCTTATTCAGTAACACTCAATCGTAACATGCAACGCTCTGGTAACAGAATATAGCTATTCATCCATGACTAATTGTGGCTGTGATAGTTCAAGCTTAATCATAAGCAGGCAGCACCCAATACCCTCATTGTGGAGCTTCTTAAACTCATTCTGTCTCTCATGACCCATTTATTTTTGGTACTGAGCTCCTGCCGCAGACCTTTACACTAACCCTTCTTCTAACTCTAACCCTTGTTTGTATACTTACTTCTGCTGTGCTGAAGATACCAGTGCCAGGGTTATGGTGCTGAAACATTCTGCTTCCTGAATGTATTACTTACTCTGGCCATACACTGCTAGTCACTCGGTTCGACAACAGACGATTTTTTTCAATCAACTATTTGCCGCGGCATTGGTTGTGAGAATACTATAGCCCAGGGAGAGATTCTTCCATCCGCGTTAAACAGCGGAGCCGCCGGCTGAACGAGAAAAACTACCAGTGTATAGCCAGCCTTATGTTTTCCTAATGGTAACAAGCACATTTAACAGTAACAAACCAGTAAAAGTTGAAAAATCGTATTCATTTTACAGAGGCTTAATGTTTTTCTGCAAGTCTTCCGCCCCAGCTTAAAACAGTAATAATTGAAAACAGTGCTTATTAATTCAAATGCGCAAAAGACAGCAGAAGTTGCCAATAAAAAACTATCCATTTCCAGTTTTCCCTGTTTAGAAATGAAAATAAATAGTATGATGGGCGCCACTATTAGATTTGTGTTGCTCTAGTTTTTATATATGACCAGGTTCCATAACGATGATTATACGAATAGCTGGAAATCCTGAAAATCCACACTGCCTAGGTAGCAGATAGCAGATTTAAAGCATGCACAATGACAGCATAGGACAAGGATTGGGAAGTCTGGAATAATGTAAAGATGACATTTATATTACCTTACAGAACCAATACCATAAAATGTGTGAGATGTTTAGAGGAAGGATAAACTTACACAACAATCTTTTTTGTAAAGAGAGGGCAGTCCAAGGTGAGCGTCTCATATTCTCCTCCTTCTCCACACACATGGACACCATACTGAGCAGAAAGCTGTAACAACAAAGACCCATACGATTCATAAATTCTAATACCATGTCCTTTGAGAGTGGATAGCTAATGGTGTCTGACTGGTGTATTGCTATCCAGGGACATGAGGATCCTCACCTGATCTGGACGAAATTGGGCAATAGAGCAAAAAGCATCTCAGCTCTATGTAGGTACAGAACACTATCCATAAGCAAATATATATTATGTTGCAGAAAACATTAACTATTACCTGTTTCAGGTGAGGTCTCATCTCTTCTAATGTCTTCTCAAGGTGCTTTTCAGGGTCTAAACCTGAATGAAAAGATAATATATGTTACAGGCCAGCTGAAGTCTCACATCTTTTTATGCCCTTATAGTTCTGAAGCCCCACGTGTTAGGAATTGCAACTGATTTTTGCTAGATGCTTTAAAGTGCATCTAAAGCCTAAACTTTTATTTTAGCTTTGTGTGCTGAGTGGGTAGAACCCCTGTTGAGTTTTTATTGTTGTCTGGGTCCCTGTTTGGGAAATACACTCTCTCAATCTGGCCTGGTGACCAATGTCACTAGACAAACTGGGGGAGAAACCAAAATTTTGAGTTGATACCAGAACAGGAACAGAGGGAAAATCTTGTTGGGGGGGGGGTGAAAAGGGAGCAAATGGTGTGGTGTGGGGGGGGGGGGTGGGGGGCACTTATTCCAGTGACAACTGTTTAAGAGGGCATTTCTCATACATCAGATATATTTTTTTTCTCACTTCCTGTTGTGCCTATGGGACAGGGAATCCCATGTTGCCAAATTGGCCTTGGAAAGTGGAATTACCCTTTAAAGAAATAATGCATAAACAAGGGAAAGACTGCACGTGAATTGAGTCCAGTATTTAGCAAAGTATGCTAAAAGACAGTCAATCTATTTTAGGGATAGGTAACTGCTAGGTAATAGCTTCAGTTGTGCTTAAACTACAAATTCCATCATGCCTCTGCCTCTAGGCATATGTTTACATATGACACAGTGAAGAAGAGCAAAAAGTATGTCCTCAGTTTTTTTTTTTTTACATTATGCAACCCTTAGTCAACAATACATGGAGATCCCATAAACATTTTTTTTTTAAAGAGGACTGTTGTTTTTCTTAAACTGTATGGTGTCTTTGTTCAATGTAGTTAGTCTAGATGCAAACATTTGATAGATAAAGTATTTAAAAGACTGCAAACCATTATCTCAGAGCACTTTTTTTCTGTTACAAGTAATTGGTTTTACAGTGGATATCTACATCATCAGAGGTCAGCATTTTGACAAAGCTACAGTATAAGGCAGGGCTCAAAATTTCAAGTTCTGAGCTACTAGCCAGGCCTTAAGAGTTACTCGCCACCAGTTGCCCCACCTAACCCCTACCCTGCCGCGGCCTTAACTCCACCCCTAAACACAACCTCTTAAAGTATCTTATAAAATTACACTTTTAAATGTTATATGCAGAATAAAGTGACAAAAATAAATATTAACAACAACAATATTAACATAAAGCAATGCAAACATTGCTGCCCTCCACATCCCCACATATAAAATAATACCCCTTCCCCTGTTCTCTGCCCCCCACATATAAAATAACCCACTGTTCTCCCCCCCCCGCACATAAAATAATACACTCTCTCCCCCCTGTTCTCTGCCCCCCACATATAAAATAATACCCCACCGTTCTCTGCCCCCCACATATAAAATAATACTCCACCGTTCTCTGCCCCCCGCATATAAAATAATACACTCTCTCCCCCCTGTTCTCTG